TAACTTCAAGAAATTATAAATTTACTCATGTGTAATTGTGTTTAACGCACAACATTGTACTTCACACATACTATATACGTAAAGATCTATTATAATTACAAATTTACCTGTGCACTTGCATTAAAACATATTAGAAGTAGGATTCTTAATGGTAATTTTGCTTTGTAACTCTTGTGACTCCAAAGTCGATGAGCGCCAGCACTTGCTCCGATATTGGATATGAAGTACATACCGATTACTTGAAAATACAAGAGAATTATGTTTAATATTATATAATGAAGAATTCTTTCAAACAATGTCTAAGATATTTCTAAAATGTCTTATATACAAATATGCATTTATTTATAAAAATATAATATTATATATACAGGAATTTTTGATAAAATTTTAAAGATTTTCAAGACTATATTTTTTATAATGTTTTCTAATTGTATTTGGTGAATTATTACTTCGAAAATTGATTTGACTGAGAATCTGAAATCTGATACTAATAAATTAATAAAAGATTATTATTTAAATTTAACTTGAAGAAATTGAGGCTCGTATAATGAATAATCATAAATAGTTCAATAATGTCTTTGCAAGCCGTCACGGATGTTGGTGTGTAATAATTTATTATTGTTACAATATTAAGCCACATACGAACTGTGCGCCGCATACATTGTCGGTCTTGAAACACAGTTCTTACATGAGGCCAGAATCCACGAATTAAATTGTCAAACAATTTAATATTTTTGATGCTAATAAGCACCTAAAAGAATCCCCTCCCCTCAAATTTGTAAAGAATTTATTGCGAAAAATATCACCCCTGCTCCCAGGCGGGAATTATTATTTAATGTTTAATTCCGTTGCTATCTCTGAATGTATTTATTTGAAGAATTTATTTGCATTTATTTCGCTTGAATATTAAAAAAAACTTTTATGATTATAGAATATTTCGCAGATAATGGTAAATATACCGATGAAGGGAGGCTGCTCCAATGATCTTGCCCTTTATATATGTCGTCAAGGGCATGACCCCAAGTAACCTTCAGGTGGTTTTAGCCGTCGCTCGTTATTCGTTAAAAAGTTATTAACGAAAAAAGTGACAAAAAAAATAATACCAATGGGGTGGTTGGGGGGGGCGAAGCCCTCCCCAGTGGGTAGTATGGGCGCAGGCGGGGAGGGGGGGGTGCAGGGAGGAGGGGCGGAGCCCCTCCCCTGCCTATTACATAGATAATATTTATTGTAAAAACAAAAAATACGTGCTTTAATGCTTCTATTTTTTTAGTAAGGCGAAAATTTAATAGATATTCAATTTAATATACATTCTACCTTGCGTAGGGGTCTGTCTAATCTTTTCGGTATCTATTATTTTTGGT